TTGCTCTCAGCCCCACCCACTTCTTCCCTCTGCAGGCTTCCTGGCTCCCCCCCAGCCACATGCATCCCCCACCCCCAGCTCCCCAGTCTCTTGCAGCTTCTACCTCTCCTCCCAGCCTCTGCCTCGTTCTCCCAAACTGTCCCCAGTCTCTGCCTCTTCCCCACCCAACTCCCCACTTTCTCTCTCTTTCCAACTCCACAACTCCCCTTACTGCCAAACACTGCTCTGGCTACTCTGTCCTGGAGCACAACATGTGGAAGCTCAGCCCTTGCCTGGCCATGCAGCAATGTCATGGCTGTTGACTGGCCAGGCAGAAGGAGTTTCCGTGTCTTCTGTGCCCGGGCAGATTCCAACATCTCCGAAGGGTTGGCTGGGGAGTGGGCAGGGAGGGCAGAAGCTGCAGAGGGAAAACGGGGTGGGGGGGCCGGCAAGAGGCTGCTGTGGGTCTAACTGGCCCTGACCTGGGCTGAGGGCCGGAGTCAGAGCCAGAGCCACAGCAGCCAACTGCTCCCCATTCCACTTCATATGCGGATGTAAGACAAGGTGCTTTCCCCCCATACTGGTTGAGGGAAATCCCCCATCTTATATTTGAGTAAATACAGTATCAATATTTCCATACTGTGCCCACAATCAAGCTCCTAGAACAAAGGGAAAACATTCTTTGATGTCAAGCCAAAATCTTTTTAGCAGGAGCTTAACATCGAGGGCTACGGAAGAATACACCATGGGGGGACACGAAAAGTATGAATCTGCTTTGCAGGTATTCAGTTACTCTTTGTGGATTCTGATTCACTGATCTGGAGCATGCAGTTTCAGGTAATATCCAAAAAAAGAAAAGGTATTGTATCTAACAAGGAATAATAGTATTTTGAAAGAAGCTAGCAAGTCTGAGGAGGTAGAAAACCTGAGATGTTCTGTTTTATACTCTTCTCAGCTCTTCTGAATTTCATTTGGACAGCGACAATCCATAAGAAAAGAGTCAAGGATGTGATCCTTTCAGGCAGTACCATCAAAAGTAGCAAGTGAGGACTATCTTGCCCAAAATAATGTAGGAAAAGCAGCAGTTTTTCCATACTGAGGATGCACACAACACTCCACTAAAACACACGTTTCTAACATCATTTTTCTTTTTAAAAAGTGTCTCTGAATATTAAAAATACTCACTTTCTGAAAATATTAAGGATGAACTCCAAATAGAAAGGAAAAAGTTTTAAGAATTTGTTTAAACTTTGAGCTTAAAAAAGCTTGACATTACTAATATTTCTTTGTACCTCTACTAAAATCACAAAAGATTTCAAAATCCACAATTTTTTTATACTGGTTTGTGTACGTTTTCAAACGCAGAAATAGCATTTCTTTGTTTACAAAACAAGCCACACATCTTCATCATGTATAGGAACAAAAAAATTCCAACACCATTTTAGTTCACGTACAACACTTGTCTTTTGAACCAACGTATACAACTTTATGCAACCTCCCCCCCCCCCCACCTTTTGACTGGGAACAAATTATTGAGTCAATTATTCAGAAACAGAACTTCAAATTGACTAGTAACCTCCACTTTGGACTGCGCGGCATAATATATTTTGAAGCGTGCCTGGATATGTATAGCTGGCTGGGGCTTATTGGCATCTAGAAGATAAACTTTACACAAAGACCACTCTTTTTGCACATTACGCTGCATTTGATCTGGGATCAGTTTACTTGAAAGTAAATGCTCCCTGGTAGGTGTCTATACATTCAAGGACTTAGCAGCAGATATGCTGCTCTTAGCACCAAACTGGTGCTACTTCCTGCAGCCCTGCAATGGACCCCTGCTGCCACCAGGGGGAGCTCCAGGCTCTGGCTTTAGCTGCCAGCGGCTGGCAGCCATCTTTAAAAGCCAAACCT